AGCCCACCAGCAGAGTAGGCTCAGGCTATCCTGCTTGCTGAGGTGGAAACTGTTTCTGATTGCACAGGAAGAGAATCTGAACGAACGTGCATTCTCAAAGTGAGGGTGCTTTGGTATCCATTCCAGACCTTTTATGTTGTAACCACTAGGTGTATATAGTTATAGTGGTGTGGCTTGAAGAGAGCTCTAACCATGTCTTCAAAGTTTGACTCCAAACAGGCTAGGATTGAAAGCCTTTCTCCACACATCATGATTTCACTGTGCAGGCCCGTCAAGGGTTCTGCCTCTCTTAGGCACTGGAACGCATAGCCACTAAATTAACCTGGAACACACAAAAGCCCTTCAACTTTTCAGCTAATTAAAACTCCTGAAATCACAAGTGATAAGCATATTACCTTTATTAATTACTTTACCATGTACAATAGTTTCAGTGTTCTCATAGGAATACTTCACCTTGATAGTTCTCTATTTAAGGCTGGAGATGTAGCTAATAATAGAGCACTTGTCTCCATGCACAGGATTCAGTCCCCAGCTCTACGAACAACAGCAATAGAGTGATCTTCCTGCTAAGGTGAAAACAACACCGTTTTATTTCATCCTTCAACCCAAGAAAAGGCTTTGAATAGTTCAGAAAATTGTTTTTCCTACCCACTCTAGTGCTTTTGTAGACAAGTTTTCTCAGTTGCTTAGCTTTGCCTGTCTGCCTTTCTGTGTGATTGATTGTAGGTTGTCCGTGCTCATGTGTATGGGAATGCATGTGCATTTGTGGGTATACATGCACATGTGTGTGCAGACCCGAAGTCGACTTTGGGTGTCATTTCCTCGGCATTTTTTACATTGTTTTTTAGAGACAGGATATCTCATTGGCTGGAATCTTGCAAAGTAGGCTAGGCTGACTGGCTAGTGAGCTCCTGGGATCCTCCTGTCCCCTTCTCCCTGGCACTGGAATTATGAGTATGTGCCACCATGCCCAGAATTTTTTTTTTAGAGACAGGGTTTCTCTGTGGCTTAGGAGGCTGTCCTGGAACTAGCTCTTGAAGACCAGGCTGGTCTCAGACTCACAGAGATCCACCAGCCTCTGCCTCCTGAGTGCTGGGATTAAAGGCATGTGGCACCACCACTTAGCTGATGCCCAGATTTTTAAATGTAGGTTCTGGGGATAAAAACCCCAGTTCTGGTGTTTCCATGCCAAGTACATTATCAACTGAGCTATCTCTCCAGCCCAAGCATCCACTTTGCAATAGTTCACCCTTCAGAACCTCATTGTCAGCTGGGAGTTTGATCAGACAGCTGGGAGTTTGATCAAAAGCAGTTTATGTTGCTATTAATATAATTTAAATGTATTGTAGTACATTGTTGTTGGAAAAATTCTATTTAAAATCAGGCATTTGATAACACACATTGGAGAAATCCTGCTGAACAGAAATATAATGTGAGATACCCAGATAATTTAAATTATCCAGTGGCCACATCTTAAAAAAAAGAAAACCTATTAAAATTGACCTTAATACATTTTAACTGACTTGATGCGGTAAAATTATTATAATTTCAACTTGGATTAAAGAAATATACAGAATAATTTTGGTAATTTTTCAATAAAGCTTAGGAATCTAGTATATATATTTTACATGTGTAGCCTCATCTTTTTTTGTGTGTGTGTAGCCTCATCTTAATAAGGACTAGTCACATTTCAAGTACTTAGGAGCTAGCATTGTGATGATTGGGCAGGGAATATAGGACTATTTTATGTGAGTGGAAGGTTGTGACTATTTTATGTGAGTGAGTAGAAGGTATAACTTCAATGTTTCAGAAAAACTAAACTGTTTCAACAACAAAGGATATCGATCATTTAGTAGCAAGTGCTGAGGTCAAAGACACAGACACACAGTCATCCTCCATATGTGGAGATGCCCTTAGCTGTGTTGTTTATATGTGATGCCCAAAGCCTGTGGATCTATGACAGGCTTTGGGAGAGTAAGACAAACAGCATACATGAATACTGTTTCTTACTTCCTTCTTCCTGAACTGGAATGTTAACTCTGGGCAGGGGCTCAGTGTCCCCTGGCTCCCTCTCCTGCACGCTTCTCTTCACTTCCAACAGTGGAGACACATCAGTGCTTCTCAGGGCCTTCAGGAAGATCACAGAACCATGAGGGATGCCAAACAGCATCTGCTGCAGAGACTGTGAAGCCACAACTGAAAGCAGCTGGCATGCTTTTCTACAATGCTAAGATTGCCGCTGGGCTCTAATTTGCAAAACTGTATTGCTTTTATTCTTCCAGAAGTTGGCTCATTACTTGCATCTTCTTCAAGGCTGCCTTAATTTAGCTGTGTTGCCTACTGTCCTGCCTTTTATTCTTTCTTCATGTCCTTTCTTACCTCCTTTACAATCTCACCACTTTTCATAAATCTGTGCATCACTTGACCTGTGCTTAGGAAGCAAATGATTTTCGTCTCCTTTTCTTTCCAATCAAGTATTGTGTGTCTAAGGAGGACACTAATGCCTTTAGTGGTCATCCTTGTAATGAGCAATATAGAATGATGCTACTGATCTTGACAGCTCAAATGAATGCTACTATATTTCTTCATTCCATCTGTCCCTCTGAAACAGAATTTATATGTAATTTTTACATATATACATGTACATATATGTATAGAACCTTACAATAAAATGAAGAAAATAAAGATTTTGTTAACTTTTATGCATACTTAACTCTTAGACATGACTACTTAAAATTTTAAGACAAGCCAGACATGGTGACTCATGGCTTTAGTTCCAGCACTTGGAAGGCAGAGGCAGGTGGTTCTCTGTGAGCTCCAGGCCAGCCTGGTCTACAAAACGAGTTCCAGGACAGCCAGAGCTGTCTCGGAAACCCCCGCCTAGCCATACACAAAAAAATTAAGGCAAAAATTATCAGGAGGCCGTTAGTCAGCATTATATGGAAAGTACTGATGAGAAAACAGCCAATAATTGCCTTATGGATGGAAAGAATGTGAACACTTGCCTTCAGCATTTATATCCTAAATCTTTCCAAAACTAGTTGAGGACTTACTTATGCTGTTCCTTTTCTGATGTGAAAAGGAAACAAATTGAGTATTCTTAGTGAAGAGCCTCAAGGATGAGCATTTTATTTACTATTATTTACTTGTAGTGTAGTTTTTGTAGTATCCTTAGCAGATTATAACCTAACCAGAAACTTTAAAACATAGCTTTGAAACTCTCTAGCTTGTTAAAATGCCTCACTTTGGACAATGCCAAATTGAATATGTGTTCACAAGATCTCCATTCCCAGTACTGGGACCAAATGCTCCTCTTTAAACCTGAGACAGTATCTAAAATTAGGAGAGTGATACATGTTCTACTTCAGTGCAAGGAGAAAAAAGGGACACGTGGTTAATAAACAGAACAAAACTCAAAAAGTAAGCAATTCTTTGGAAATCCAGTGTTTGTACATTGGGCTTACTATCAGTATATAAAACTATTAAAAACAAGATTGTCACTTGACCTCCTTTAGAGAAGGGGGTGACAGGGAGACAGAGAGACACACAAGGGAAGAGAGAGATTGTTCCTGCCCATGTCCTGCTACTGTGCAATAGTCCTGTCTTCCTATTAAATTCATACTTTTCCACTACCAGTAATTCTTGACAGGAGTTAGAAGAATTTCGAAAATGGGCATTTCCCAATGCCTAATTATATGTAATTTTTGGTGACTGCTTCCATCCCCTGTCATCCTATAATTTTTCTCTTTTTAAAAATTGTCATTGGTACAGGATTGTGTCTTTTGTGTCTGGTTTCTCTTGTCATGGTGGTTTTGAGTTCCTCACATTTGCTTTATACTGCTGCTTGGAGGATGTTCTATAACCTCTCCATTCTTTTTAGGTCTATGATAAGTGTGTGCATAACTCTGTATGAAATAGACTGAATTCCGAGTATCTGGAGTTGCCCCAACAGCATTGTTGGAGATCTTCTATTGTCCTTGCCAGATTTTGAAATTATTCATGTGTTTAATTTACATTTAAGCCATTCCAGTACACCAGGATTCCCTCTGACATCTTCACAATGATGTTTTAGGTATCTTTGAGGACCAGTGGAAGGCCTCTTAGGGTGGCAGTTTGACTAAATGTTTTTATGGAGTCAGGGACTTCTGCTTCTGGAAAATGAGGTTCTCTGTCTTTGCTGTGAGAGGCAGGTTGTTCCTATTGACCTTTGTCAGCAGGCTCCATGGATAGAACATGATCTTAAGACTCCTGGGATTA